AATTAGTGCTAAATGACAATAAACTAAAAGCCACCTGTTTTTAAGCCTTCCTAAAGTTTAAGGGTTAGTTGTTGAAAATCCACCCACCATAGCGTTGTTATGGAGGCTTTAGAGCACAGTTTACAGCCTGTAAAGTTCATTCTAACTTTAAAATCCACCCTGGAATGGGCTCGGGTCATTTTTGGCACTTCTCTGTTGGCATAATTTCTATTTATCCCTGTAAGTTGCTGCTTGGTTAGAAGAAAGCCTTTTTTATAACCATGGATCTTGGAGGACGTGGGCTTTTTTAAATTTCCCAGTTTTATTCTGGAGATTTAATTGATGTGTGTTAATAACTAAGTATGTAGAATTGATGTTTTTTGCCAGTAGAGATGGTTCTTTTCTTTTCTTGGTTTGCTCTGTGAACACACTTGTCTCTTTGCTCCAGGTATCCGCCAGCTTCAACTGATGCTTGTAAAAGTGAGCTTGATCCTTGGTGTCGAGATTCACGTCAATGTTGAGTTCATCAAACTGCTGGAGCCACCAGAGGAGCAGACAGATGTGGGTGAGTATGTCCTCATGAACAAATTCATTACACCAGTGTGTGAGTCGGTGCATTGCTCTACTATGAAGCCATTTTCAGTTCCAAAGTCAGTAAGTATCCTCACAAATAGAGAAAGACAAGTGTGTCTGTGGGTGTGTATTTGTGGTATTATGTGTATGTTAAAGTGTCATGAGTGGCAGTGACATGCTGGGACCCGCCTGCATATCTTGGCTATATAAGGAAAGTTCCCTACACACAGTGCATGTTAAAATGATCGCACATTTGAAGTATATATAGAGTATTTCTAATAAACTGTGTGGAGAATAAAGATAAACTGAGTGTGCTGTTAAATTTTAGTTGAACTCTGTGCTGCGTTTTCTGAATGTCTTAAAATAGCACGTCCCACACAGCATGTCCAGAAACTTCCTCACTCTAACACTCCAAGGAACATGACACGACTATGTGACACTGAGAGGGTAGTTGAGATGCAACCTCATCTGCTCTGCCTGTTTTGTGTTTTTCTTTAAAATCAGCACTTGAGCGTGCCTTCCTGCTTGTGTTTTCTTGCATTGTCCTTGAATGTCACATATGGTTTCTTGTGTTTTTCCTCAGGTCATGGTTGGCGGGCAGAGATCCGACCTTCTGGCCATCCTGTCTCGGACTTTGAATTTGACGTGGTGATTGGAGCTGACGGACGCAGAAGCACATTAGATGGTGAGAAAAGATTATAGGTTACAGATGCGAGTGGTGCTGTGGGTCATACTTTGTTATGGGCCTACATTTCAGGAGTCAAAGCTCCGTTTGTTTGTTTTTTTTGTGGAAATGAGGTGAGGTGGCGCAAAGCTGCTTTCGGCCACTTGGTAAAGCATTTCCTGCTGACATAGTTTCAGCTGGAGGCTTAATGGTGCGTATGGGGTCAGAGGAGTGTTCTGGTTCATGAACTGTTGGAGAGCTTTGTTGGCTTTGTCAAAGCGTACAAGTTGCAGTGTTTATTTTCTGCTCGTGTGTGAGTGTGTGTGGCATATGTGTGTTATGAACATACTTTCCCATAAGGATGACTGATGGGAAGCATCATCCTCCTGAAGGTTTGGTGTCTCCATGACTGCAGAGAAACTCTTTCAACTGCATGTTGCTCCAGGACTTTCCTCCAAGGAATATTCTAAATATAATATAATATATAATAATATAATATTCTAAATAGGATTATAATGGTCAACTAGTAGGAGGGGGGGATGTTTGTGCAAATTATTTGTTACGGAAAGAACAACATTATGACTAACTCCTGACTGTCGTCTACACTAGATAACTTAAGAATTGCAGCTTCTGTCTTAAAAACACAAACAATACTAAATTCCCCAATGGTTAGGCCCTGCAGGGATTTTCTTCAGACTTGGAGTAATTCCACATATCCATGATAAGGATGGCAAAGAGTCTAAGAAGCTTGGAAAGAAAAGCGTCTGGAAGACGTTTCATCTCTCATCCAAGAAGTTTCTGCAGTTCTAGGGTCAATTGGTGGAGATTCCCAGATTTAAGCCTTGTGAGAGTGAGAGGGACACTGGACCCCCTAATGATCCTCTACCTAATCACACGAGCCAAGGTGTGAAAACGGGTGTAGGTCACCATCAGTCAAGATTTCGGGTGAGCTCATTGTGAAAACTGGCCCCACCCTATCATGTGATTTCCTGAGGTCAAAAGGCCCAGGATGTGATGTTAAGGCATCTGGGAAGGGATCTCAACACTGGATGGCAGACAGTTGGTGTCGTAAACCACCGCTGCTGTTCAAAGATGGCCGTTCACAGTGGACGTAGATGGCTTCTTTCACTCCTCTTTCAAACAGTCTGTCCTCTCTGTCCAAAATGGGAACATTGGCATCTTCGAAAGAGTGACCTTTGTCCTTTAGATGCAGATGGACCGCTGAGTCTTGTCCCGGGACAAAGGATGTGATGTACACTTGGAGCCTGTTTGATAAGTACTTTTTGGATTTTGGAGAGTACATTAGCGGTATTGAGGGAATAGCATCTACATGCTCCCTCTCATTCAGAGTATTATAACATTTATTGTCAAAAGTATGCAGATGACACACAACTCTACACATCAGTGTCACCACATGATTGCAGTTCCCCTACACTTAAACAAAAAGTGCATTAAGCAAATCAGTGGTTGTTTTCACCCCCAAAGAAAACAGCCTATCTAGAAAACATGATGCACAAATTCGGCCTACTATCCGCCTTACATCACAGGTGCTGGAGCCTATTTCAGCTGTCATAGGCCAAGACGCAGGGTATAGCCTTGGGATCTGTTCAGTGTATCACAGGGCTGGCACAGAGACGCACTCACAGAAACACCTATGACCACTTGAGACACCAGTTATTTTAACCCCGTGCATGTATTTGGGGAGGAAGCCAGAGTACCTGGAGACTCCACACAAAAGGCATCTCTTGTAAATCCAGCCTGGATTCAAACCCGGGACCTTATTTCTGTGAGGCATCAGTGCTAACCATTGCCCTACCGTGTTAGTACCATTGGAAAAATTAAAGGATTTCAGTCTGAAGCAGATGCAGAAAATCTTGCTTACACAGTATTCAAATGATCACATCTTCAGCAGATTAGATTATTGTAACTGTGTCTTTACAGGTCATAGTAAAACTACAGCTCATTCATAATTCTGCAGAAATCTAACAAACATCAAAAAGGTGGAGCGCATTTATGTAAAAAATAAATCACTGCATTCCCTTTGAATAACTTTTAAAATCATTCTCATGTGTAAAGCACTAAATGGACTCAACATTTTTAATTCACCCTTTGCCTTACAAAACATCCAGATCACTGAGGTCATCCGGAGCAGGCATACTCTGTTTTCCCACTATTGGAACAAGCTTGGTGTGGATTGTATTTTCAATACTTTTGTATTGATTTACCAACTTCAGGAAATAATAAATGATTTTAAATGTTTGAACCCTTTTTTTGTTTTGTTTTTTTCCTTCCCCACCTCTGCAGGTTTCAGGCGCAAGGAGTTTCGTGGGAAGCTGGCCATCGCTATAACGGCTAACTTTGTCAATAGGAACACAACAGCAGAGGCCAAAGTAGAAGAAATAAGTGGCGTGGCCTTCATCTTTAACCAAAAGTTCTTTCTGGAACTCAAAGAGGAGACGGGTGAGTCGGGAAAGAATGTTGCAGTGGGAAAATGACGGCTTCTCCCACTCTAAATGCTGCTCCTTCCTGTGCTAAACATCCTCTCTAAGTAAATATGTTCATGTTTGCAGGAATCGACCTGGAGAACATAGTTTACTACAAAGACAACACCCACTACTTTGTCATGACTGCAAAAAAGCAGAGCCTGCTGGACAAAGGGGTCATCATTAATGTAAGTTTACTCAGCTGACTTTGATTTAATCCGACACACAAACATAGATTCGACTCTTCCAGACTCCAATGGGTTACAGTTCACACCCTCCCTCTGTGGTTAACCCTGGTTCCAGGATT